GGGAATTTTATAATTTCACTTCAAATTTCGATTTCTATTTACTACTAAATTCTTGCAAAATCTTTTTAGTATTTTTTTAGTATTTTTTAGTATTTTGTATCATAGTTATTACGATGGTTTTTCTGCTATTCTCAGATCAGTCAGATCAGCTTTATCTTATCATCAAAACCGAATTTCAAATATATTTAAGACCATTTTTTAAGATTAAAAACGCAACTGTTAGAAATCCATCAAAACCGTACTTTTTTTATTGATATTTTAGAAATTGTGGTAAAGACAATTTTCGGAAAAAAGAAGTCCAAAAATTAAGAATGCTTAGAATCTTGAAAATATATAAATACAGTGCTGCGACAGTTCGTATAATTTAACACATGCTTTTTTCAAACAAGTTTAATCAGTTAACAGTGTTAGCGATAGTAATGAAGTTAAACAAACAGTTGTCAAATGTTAATTACCTGCAGCACTTATCAGTAAGTCATCGCTCCCGCTTGGTAAAAACTGCACCGAAAATATATTATTCATATGACCAGACTTGATACAGTGTAAAGCTTTACCTTCCACATTCCACAAACGAATTTGCATATCATCAGAACCACTTGCCAACAGGCTGCAATAATGACCATAATTTCTTTTCACTTTTAACATTATATACATTTTGGAGTAAATTTAAAAGTTAACCTTCCTGAAGTATTCCACTGTAAGCAGTTCACACATCCTTCATGACCCTGCAATTAATAAATAAGGAATGAAATTCCCTCAAAAATGAGTGAAATATTTTTGCATTATTGTTAATATGTTCCATAAAAGGTTTGTTACTCTTAAATTTCTGCATAGCTTCAATAGGCCTTCTATGCTTACCACAGTGAAGTTATTTTATTGCGATAATAATACTGCAGGCATCATCCATAACTTTCGTTTAGTGTTCACATCTCTGATTAAGACAATCAATTCTTGTCATAAAAGGAGCTACAGATCAAGGAGCACTTATTCGTACATCTATTGATAGTAAATGATACCATATTTGCAAATATTCTATTTGTCTTCAATTGTCCTCAACTGAGGATAATATTCAAGTTAAAGTGCTTCTGTTTTATTTTACAAAAGATATCAATGTAAGTAATAACTGAAGTCTTGCGTAGCGTAGTCGAATAACTTTTGGAGTAGTTCACATACCGTTAGAAGTTTGTCTCATGATTAAAAACAAAACAGACTGATGAAAAAAGACTGAAAATAAGTACTAACTTTAAGTGTTTTACTATAGCCAAGACGATCCAAAAAATTTCGCGTACTCAATGTATTTCTTTGAAAATTTACAGGTCTTAAATGTAGTTCGCGATAATGAAGATTTTCTTCCAAATGTTGAGGGATCATTGTTACCCAATTATTTCAAATAACTTAATGGATTAACGAACCTGAAATGCAAATTTCAGATAGGAATATTTTTTAAAGGGCAAAAAAATTATGAAGAGCACTTACTGTATGAAAACGGATGCGCATGACATATGATCATACTGAACAATATTGTATCTACTCAAAAATTAGTGAAAAATAGACTGTCAACCACATCCAATGAAAGTAGGTACAGTGTTTTATCGTGAGACTAAAGTTTCATAAATACTACACTTAAAATCTATGAGAAAAATTTCGAATTTCATTCTTGAAATTGATGTTATCGATTCGCTCTCGCATTTCATAAGGATCTCTAGATAGGTGAATTTTTTTAGTGAACTGTTTTCTCCAAATTTTTTCTAACTCAAAAATACTTTGAACCTTCAAAGAAATGACGAACTTACAATCGATTCACCTCAATGAAGACATCAATGTTTGGAAGTTATTCAATATATTATAATACAACTTTCAATTAGATATTTTGATAAAGGAGAACTTCTATCCCGACCCTTTCCTGCTTAACAAATTCATCAATTATTTTCAACTGTCTGCTATTTCTTTATGGAGATAATTTTGAACAATAAATATGCTTCATTCATATTTAAAGTGAGCATTAAATAAATTTGAAACTTTACTGCTAGCTTCCGTTCCGACTTACGAAAAGGCCAAGGAAAAAAAAAGGTATAATTTCACTCTGTTTCTGTTAAATAATCAATTAAAATATAAAAAATGTGCTGATATCATATTGGAAGATGAACCTTTTAAATTGATAAGTTCCATAAAATACACGGATACACGGAGAAACTTCGTACGTGACAACACTCTTCCCTCCCAACGAAACACTAACATCCACGTACTGAGGAAGGAGTAGCCACCCGCACGAATTACAACTCAAACAACCTTTCACGAGACAACTGTAAATCTGGAATGAGCGGAATCAATAAAAACTGATTATATAATAAATATATTTATAATTATGATAAGTGTAAAGTATGTTATAATAGATACGGTTTGTTTAGATGCAAGATTTGAATAAATTTCAAACTCAGACAAGACCGTACGACAGCCAGCGTCATTTTTCTTTAACGAAGCAGCTATTCAAAGTTATCGGAGTAACTGAATAGATATTTACATTTCTAATTGAATACAGGCTACCGTAACTTCTCACCTTTCCGACTTCATTTTTGCGTTTCACGTATCTTACTTTTAATGTTTAACTTAGTTTCAAACTTTCAGTCATAGTACAGCAAGGTAAATTCTCAAGCAGACACAGTTTCAGGGCGACAGTAATCTAATAGCCTTTAGCACATGTATATCTTGGAAGTTTCAAGAATCCAAAAGGACGTTACCAACTGAAATGACTCCTCAAGTTTGAACGCCAAAAAATTCGATATTAAATCGATCAGCGCAAATATTTACGAGCTAAAAGGAATTACGAAAAAATGAGTCCGAGCATGTCAAAATTTCCTGATGAATTCCGAAAGTGCTGGATCCATGTATCCCACGTTTCTCATTCTTAGTGTCCAATCTGTCATGTACGTAAGACACATCCCTACTCTGAAATTTTGAAGCTGCCAGTGGCCCACAATTAACGGAAAACGAAAAAAGCAATGGAAAAACATCCACGCACCAAAACACCCAAAGTGCTGCAACTCATACTAACGAGTCTTAACATGAATAATGATCGTAATTTATTGGTATTTGGCCACACAGTTGCAAATTACCGCTCATCGATTGGGACATTTGGTTTTCACTGGGGGCTTAGATTGTTAGCTGCGCGTGTTTCGGGTTGATGTACTAACGCGATGTAATTCTATTATTCGGATCAGGTGCAAGACGCTACACGCGCGAATTTCTTTTCGATTTAATGTTCTGATTTTTATTTTCTTTAAAGCGTTTAGGTATAGCATTGTTTTGAATTTACTTTCGAGATATGCTAAGATATTTCCTTCCACATTCCTTACAGTTTTCTGTACTGTACCGGAATTATCATTGCTCTTTAACTCCTCTACTCTTCTATTTTCACCTGAAAAAAACAAACGCTTATTTCGTGTTGAAATATGACATCTTCACAATATACGATTGGTTTTATTAAACAATTTAGACACTTTCGGAATTTAGAGGTCTAATAGTACTTTTCCAATTAGCCAGTTATCAAATTGATACTGGGAACAAGAATATTACTTCACTCTGTGTGAAGATGGCTTCATTTCTATTTTAATTTCTTTCTTATCTTAGTGCTGAGATATCATATCTGCTATTTTCTCCTTTTCTTTCAGAGAGTTTTTCAAGCAAATTTTAGTAAGAATTTCGTACCATATGAACGTTGGAATTTTTTTTAATGAATTTTTAGTAGACGTATTCTTTTCCAGTCTTTTTTGCTGGTATTTCTATTTAGTTTTTTTACCTACTTCTATAATTTTACAGCCGTGAAAACGTAGCCATTTACTGCGTGTTCTGTGTACTTCCATGTTACATTTGGGGGAAGATGAAAAATGTTTGTCAATTCCTATTGTCATAGGTGAATGGCCTAAAAAGCAAAAAATATTTTATCCCTTTCGTTTTGTTTTTCCTTTTTTCCAGTTATTACCGCTTACCACAAGTATTATTTCGAGCATATTATGATTTGATATTTTTCTCGCTGAGCAATAAATCTGGGGAAGTACGGCCCCTGCATTCCGCTCTTCATGCGCATGCATGCACAGAAGAGAGCACGTGCACAATTCTATATGTTCTCTTTCATGTCGTAAAGCAAAATTTTCATCAATACCGTGTTGTGAAACTTATGCGTGGATTTGAATTCCCGATGTTTTGAATTTGGGTGAAATAAAATATTCGGGAGGATTGTCCTTTTCGGATATTTTATAGAACTTCTGTACATTTTTTTGATACTTGAAAGAAATAAATTTTTTCCAGGATAAATGAAAAAATTAGTTACACTTTTCAGTTTTTCTAGCAAGCATCTTATCACATTCCTGTAATATCCCGGAAAAATGCTTTTGTAAAAAGAAGGAGGACAAATATCGGATTGATTAATATGTAGTGCAACAAGACCGTTATAATCAAACTTCTGCTATACTTTGGCTATATCATCTTTTGCTTGAAAAATAGAAAGAGAAAATGCGCATTCTTTTATCATGACGACCTTTAACAATAACATTCATTTGCTATGTTTTTCATCACCGTTTCACCCTGCTCTTCATATGATTTATAATGATAACGATGTTAATGATGATATATGATCGACTTTGATTACTTTTGAATCAACATTTGGAAAGACAATAGCTATAGCAGATTGAAAACATCGGAATAAATCGTGTTCGACACTATTATGCAATTTTTTCTTCTGATTTCCATCAAAAAATGAATAAGAGGCAGTGTTGAATACTCAAAATATTCGTTTCTTTTCTTGTTTCCACGATTTTAATTTTTAGGGATGACATTTTTAATCTTAACTTTTTTCTTCATTGATTTCTAATTTTCAAATATTTTTGCCTGTGCTTATTTTCAATCTCACTTACATTTTATTGTTTGGAAAATGTATTTTATTTCTTTGTGTTTTTATGCACTTGTTAGGAAAAGCTGTGTATATATCATAAGAAACTTTTCAGATGGATAAACGTATAGAATTGGAATTACGAGGCCGGGATCCATCTGACGTAACCGAACTAAACCTTGATAATTGTCGGGCGACTGCTGTTAGCGGTCTTACAGAGGATTTCAAGAGTTTGGAAACACTATCAATGATCAATGTTGGATTAACTTCGTTAAAAGTAGGAAGGCTGAGTTTTCTTTTTTATTACAATTTGGTGATAAACGGTGGAATTGATATATTACTTGATTTTGACTAACTTCAAGTTTAAATTTTTTTTAAAGCAATTAGAAATATGCTACCAACATAGCGAAAATATGCTAACATGCGGGTAAAATATAACATAGCAAATCAAAGCTTCATAGATTTTTTTTCCTTTATTTGTCAGGGTTTGCCACCACTACCTTCTCTTCAACGATTGGATTTATCGGAAAATCGGATTTCCGGTAACCTGGATCAGCTATTATGTTGTCCGCATATAGAATACCTCAATTTGGCCGGTAACAAAATTAGCACACTGGAAATTTTGGAACCGCTGAAAAAACTTGGGGAATTGAGGTCACTGGATCTTTTTGGTTGTGAATTAGCTACATTTGATGACTACAGGAAAAATGTCTTCGAGGTTGGTTTTTTTTCTTGAGCTTACTACGCAGTCCAGCTTGTAGTTATCACAATGATAGTATGATCTGACGAGCAACGTTGAAGGCGGAAGAAATAAATCGAAGACTTTTGACAGAGTGCGGAAAATAATGCTGTGGATTTACTTCCCTGGCGGAAATTCTATAATGATCGATGACGTCGGTTACTTTTATCCTAAAATGTAGTTAAGAAATCGATCTATTATTTTTATTTTTTATTTTTTTGGTTCATTGGGCATTTTATCAAATAAGGATTATTGTTTCTAAATTTAATTACCCATGTGATTTTTTGAAGTGCAGCAGTCATTGAATTGTTCAAATGCTTTTAATCTCCACTAAGCAGTTATTTGATTGGTGCATAGCACACTTGTGAAATTTCAAAGCAACTTTTTATTATTCTTGACTCCTACCCGAAAGAAGTATCTTCATTCAAGTATAGGAGAGGTTCGCAATGGCAGAATAGTATTTTTAAAAAGTATCTGAATTTGTTTCAAAGCGAAAAATTTTTGTTCTTGTAGGCGTTACCCAATCTGAAATATCTCGATGGTTATGACATCAATGATGAGGAAGCAGAATCCGACAGTGAAATCCTGCAGGAAGGCGGTGATGATGAAGATGACGATGATGGTGTTGGTGATGGATTGGACGATACTGATAACGATGATGAGGGTAATGATGATGAAGAGGATTCTGATGTTGGTTTGGATTATCTGCAGAGCTCCACTGTGATGCAGGTACATTTGCACGATATCGCGTTCCTGCACATGTTGTTAACAGAACTTTTGTCTATAGAAAAGTGTAAAAAATATTTATATCTTCCGTTTTCGTGTTAAGAGATTGAAATAATTCAAACTTGTGTTCGCTTAGATTAACTTAACAGAAAATGAAAAAAAAAACGAATAATCATGGTTGGGAAGAGATTAGGAAGGAGTTATGCGAAACCAATTTAAAGCTAGGATTCATGTAACTTTGTTGATTTTTACGAATCGGATGGAAAAAATAATCTCATATCATAGGAACATGTTTAAGAACCTTTCATTTTCAGGATGAAGATGAGACGGAAGATTTCGCTCCAGGTGATGAAGAAGAAACAGATGAAGCAGGCAGTCCACGGGGTGTGAAACGGAAACATGAAGAGGATGATGATGATGATGATGAAAACGACAGAGATACAAAACGAGAAGCGTAGAATTACATTGTTTCACCACAGAAGTTTTTTTTTGTAACATTTGAGGGACAAATTCTTCTCGAGCAGATTCCCGAACAATTTCGGATGCTAGTAGAGGTTGACATGAAGAAGGATTCGTTTTCTTTCCAGTAAGAGCCAACAAATTGTGGAGAAATAGAAAATTGCTACACTGTGCCATCTCGAATGCAATCTCATTATCTGTTTATTTGTTTTCTGTTATAAATGCCGTTCTTTTCAAAATATATTCCTTACATTGTTATTCAAAAACGATCTTAAATTTTACGTTTATATATTCGATTTTTACACTTTTTGTTAAATTCATCCGTTCCATTCTATTTAATGTTGACCTTATTTATCGATTACAACGCGTACCTCATTATTTGATGTATGATCATGATTGCGATTACAATTCAATAATTATTATAATTACACCCGCAATATTTTTTCCACATTTTCTTGTCCCTTTCTTTTTCAAGTTGAAATTTATCGATCCATTAGAAAAGTTTCCGATTTTATCCTCTCGTTTCCAAAAACTGATCCGTCTTCCAAAAATCGGCAAAGGAAAAAGAAATTGAAATTTGTTGTGTTTTAATGTGTTCAGTTTGGAATTTTTAACGTTAGATTTTCGCTTTTCTTTTTTCCCTTGTTTTTTTTTAACGTATCTGCTCTCATTTCTAACATTTATTGCCACGAAAACTGAAAGTAGTAGATCAGATCACCGTCCGGTTTGTATTTCGTGATGAATTCTTTTAGAATCCACAAATGTCCAGTTGTTCTTTTATTCAGAACTAAAATTTCTTTACAAATTTTATGATTTTACATAGTATTGTGAGTTGAGAGACTGGTTTAGACTTACACGTTATAATCTTGCCGTAATATTTGTATTGTTGGAAAATATCCTGTAACGAGGCAAAGGTAAAAGATACAGGTAAAACACGATCACGCACTTTTTTTTTTGCTTTGGAAATGATTATCTGAATAGCTAAAGTTTCGGGATTATAAAAGATTATCCGAAATAGTTCACTGACTGAACAGTTATTCCAGAAGTTTTATGTCACAAATATTAATTGGATACCAATGTTGACAATTTTGGTGAAGCGAAACTGGAACGATCATGCGTATCCAAATCTTAACGTTCATTGCCTGAAATTATCACTGAAAATTATTGAGCATTGGATAATAACGGTTAGAAATGTTAGAGGAAGCGGAAGGGATAAAGAGTTGCATGTTCCACTGATTACAAGCATATTTTTAACTCTACTGATATATCTCAAAAAACTAATTGGCAACATTTTTTACTATAACCAATTTTCTTGTTTGTAGCGGAAGGAATCTTTTCCGCATTGGATTTCAAAAATTGATGCCATATTGATACTTTAACACAATGGGAGAAAAATAGTGTTTTCAAAGTCATAATTTAACATATCTAATTTTAAATAGAAAACTGCAGCTGCTAAGTGAAGCTTTGATAATATCGTCCCTTTTTGAACTTAATGATATCGAGAGAAAATGAGCATAAATTATAATGATTGCCAACACCAGTACATGTCAGGTCCGGGCAGGTGCGAGTTATTCGATTTCTTTACTCTGTTAGTGTGATATGAATAAGTCGATTCCAGGGAAAGAAGATTCTAAATTAACGATTTTTCCCAAGCAGGTAACTCTTTCGGGTATTGCCACTTCGGGATTCTATTGGTCAATGCAGGTTAACAGATGATTAAAATATTACGATCAAATGATTAGTGGATAATTTTTGGGATAAAAGAGCATTTAATGAGCTGGGGTTATCGTTAGTTCCAACACTTAAAAAGAAGCATTGAATGCTTTTACAAACATTGTCATGTGTTCTTCTTTGGAAATAGGATGGAATCATTTTATTGGTTAGAGATTTGATATTACTATCTTCCTGGCAGTTTAGTTTTGTCGTAGTTTTCTTTTATATTTTTCAAAAAGTTAAAATACGTTGTAGTCTCTGATTGGTTCATCGATTTGTTTTGCGGCTTTGAACTTCCCAAAAACTCCAGAAATTTTTCAGTTTTCCTCTTTAGTTTTCTGTGATATGGAGATCTATGATTTGAAATTGGATCATAGGCTAAGAAATTTGTGCCAATTAAATTTCCAAAATCTATAGAAACGGATGATTCGAAGTTGTTTTTTGCAACATATACTTTCTCAAAAATTAACGAGAAAAGTCTTATTCATGCTATTCTATCAGATCATGAAAATCTTTGTGGCAAAAGCTGATCATCGAAGTCTGATTTCCAGGATTTTACCAAATATGAAGGCATAGCCTTTTTTCATTGGTCTAAAAATGGCAGGAAACGATCTTGTCCAAAAAATTTAAATGATACGGCCACTAAAAGAAAGGTTATCACTCTATTCGTCTAAGCTCACCCCTTGGTTTGGGCCTTTCAGTAATTATTTATGGACTGGCTAATGGATTTGGAATTTTCACTGGATAAGTGTTATTTTTTCGATTTTTAAAAATTCAAATTTGAAAAATCAATTTCAATTTTCGAAAGACAGACTAATACCGACCTTGTTCAAATATTAAGGAAAGGGATTACACAGAATATTCAAATCACTTTGTGATTTCAATTGGTAATAGCCTATTTCCCTAAGTTCACATCACCAACAAATCTGGAGCAAGACAGTCATTGCCATCGTTTGCAGCATATCTGATGACTAAAGTTCAAAGCGAGAAAATGACATTCCCGCATGTATCAGTTTTTTTGCTTTAAATTTGGCGAATCATTTTTCTTTCCATTGAAAGACAGAGAACAACAGAGACTCATTAGATTTCGTTGTTTTAAAAATTTAGTATTCTTGCTAAAGTTAATGGATGATAGATCATCTGTATATTAAACAAGTGAATTAATTATTTATATCAATTGTTAATAGTTTGATTGTAGAACCAGGATGATCTTTGAAATTATTCGTGCAGAGAAATTTCTCTTCGTGTATGGAATAATGACCTTTTTAGCAACTGCTATCTCTACAACCCGACTGTTGCCAAAACTCCTTTGAAATTCAAAATCTCTTTCTGGCGGGAGAAAAAATATTCATCGGTCTGTTTTGCGGGTATTTTTATTATAATTGGAGATATGATCTCACTTATCAGAGATATAAACAACTTTGATGAAATCCTAAGGAATAAAAACTTAGATTTGGTTGCCTTAATTTAAATAAGTCAGGAAAGGATTATCAGTCTTTCCTGTTATCCAACGTTCATTGCAAAATCTGATAGATACCGGTAAGTAATACTGTCTGTAGAGCTGTTCCAATTCTTACAGCATTAGACATATCTAATGTTCTAGGATTCTTTTATCATTTTGAAGTGAAGATGGCCAGACGATGAAGAGAAATCACCATTACAAAGTTTTATGTTATATTAAGTTTGATCGCGAGTCCTTCTAATTCAGCCCTTCTTCAAATTGAAGTAAACACTCATGCAAAATATATCCAGTTTATTCCTAAATTTTGAAATCAAATTAAATCACTGAACTCATTACACAGGGAAATATTTCACTTCCGTAAGCTAATTTTTTTATTCCTTTTCTTCATACAACATTGGTGATAAACAATGAAAAAACAAAAACCAAGATGAAAAAATTTAAGAGGACAAAATACAGTAAACGGTAAAGTCAAGATAAGGGAAGTACGACTAACACTGCTCATAATTATAACATTTCAACCTCCTCTCTTCTGCGCTGTTAATTATAACAAAAACAATAATAACAGTAAGCATTTAAGAGACTACACAATCACATAGCCTATTTGTAAGAGTTGAATTCTGCGAAGAAATAACTGTAGTGAAAATTTTATAGAAACAATTCTGCTTTTGATCGGAACTACGTGTGTATATACATGTAGTTCACTTATGATCTGCTGTAAAAATTACCAGATATGTATATTAACACCGAGCTTCCATAGCCTTGATTAGCAATTTGAATAACACTGCTCAGTTAATCAAGGACACACCAAAAATTATGACTTATCGAATCAAATACTGGAATATCATTGTCACTTCATGGGAAAAGTGCATACCAAGACGGAAAGTTAAGTACAACTACTAATCATTTTGCAAAGATATACGGAAAAAGAGACACGTCCATATTCGGCGGAAAGTCCATATAAACTATTATTCGCTTAATTCTTTGCGTGACGCTGATGAATAGATCATTCAATCTGACCTCACTGAAAATACAACCATGTATATCGATTTTTTTGAATGATAATTATAAAAAATATACATTTATATAATTAGTTAGATATACAATGCAGTGTTTACCTATTTAATTGGCCGAGCTGTATTAATCAAACTATCAATCAAGACTAGGTAATGCAAACTGAAACCTTTCCAAATAAATGTTAATAAGAAATAATTCCAGCAACAACTAAAATGAAATCAAGTATAACATGGGTTATAAAAAGACAGTCCTCGTGCAAATTTTACAAAAAAGAAAGAGTGTGAAAGAGTTATATGAAATTGAATGCGTTACTAAAAAATGGTACAACTTTTCAATTCATGGAAATTTTGGAAGCAAAAAGAAATTTAACTAATCGCACTTCTTTTTCAACGATACTCGGCATGCATTATTACATACAAGATAATATGGTAAAGAATACAAATTTGGACAATAGAAAAATTGACTTATGCATGCATAGCCTACCAGTTGCTTCAATCTTAGTTAATATCACCAAAACTGTAAAGAGATAAAACTAATGAATAAATAAAAGTCCAATAAGTAAAAAAAAAATAACCCGAAAATTAATTTGGATAGATTTGATATCTAATGAATAATAAATAGATTTGATACCTAATGAGTAATTTCAGTCCATTTTCCCAACGTTTAAATAATTCTGGAACAGTCATTACATTAAGTGGTTTACTTCAACTAATAAACTCAGCCCAACAATTAATAGCAGCTTTTTTTTAAATCCAGTTTCTGCAAAACGTTACTGGATTACAAGATAGCATTTTCAAGAAATGTATTAAAAAGTACCTAAAACATGTCAATACGAGTTTAAATATTTCAATAAAAAAAGAATAATAAATGAAAGGACATCATGTCGCCTCCAAATAAGATTTAGATTGAGCCATATAGTTGGTAACGGGAAATAGAATTCATCCTTTGTTTACTGATACCAGAAACATCAAAGCAAGTTGGATTTACAACTTGATTTTGGTCCAGTAATTGATTTCAGACCATAAGCCAGACAAAACAATTTAAGTGAAATACAACAAAATATGATACTGATAACTTCTAAACATAATTAATTTTGAGCAGTGAGAAAAGTAAAAACGATAATAACTCAAAATGGTAAAGTAAATAAAATAATTCACGAAATCTTTTAAAAGTGTGCCTATTCAAACTAAAGTAAATGAAATTTTACATGTGAAAATGCTTACGGGCCTCCTGCAATCTTTTACGCATATCCAAAACACGCCGCTCTTGATGCTGAATATCTTGCTCACTGACTGATACAGGCTAAATAAAACCAGATTAATAAAATCATTAACGAAATCCTCTCGAAATGAAACCTTTTAAAAACATGCCCTTCGAAATCGAAATCAGGAGCACTTAAGACGTATGTTAACTATTTATTAAAGCTACTTATTATTAAAGTTACTATAAACGAAGATGTTTATCGCCAAATTTATAGTATTTTAAAATTCTCCTAAGCCCGTTCTTTCTCCTGAATTCAAAATATATAAAATGGTTCAATTGAAACTTTTAACCCCATAAACTTGTTATAATTAATTTGTCTTGTTCCTGAAGACACTCAGGTAACTAAAAGTCTTCAAAAAGCAGTTACTGCAACTCTATTTCATGGCGACTTTGAATGAATCAAGATATATGTGATATCAGTTAAAGTTGAAGTTCTTACCTGTATATAATATATAATATTAAGCCATCATAGTTACTACATTTCAATCTGCGTTTGAATTACAGTAACGAATGATATGGTGCAATATTTGAAGAATTAAATACAAATAATTGTCTAAATGCTTCTTACCGTAGGTATTTAAGACTTAAAATTTCATTTTATGGAGGATTAATTTTCAAATCAGATTTCGACTTTATTTTACTTTCATTCCTCCAATTCAAGTTAAAATCTTCCATGAACAAAGACTTACTAGAAACCAATAGCATGTTCATATTTTCTGATTATACCAATTATACTAGACCTTTCTGATTTTGAAACGAATAAAAAACCTACAAACCCACCTGGATAAATGGCTGGTCAACATTTGTATTAGATGATGGATTTGAATCGAGCTGCTTTTTAGCAGCAGTTTGTCCAGTAATAACTGATGCGCCAAATCCGTGCAGTGCAGAGCATAACGATGCTGCCGAACCATCAGTACCAATAATTCCTAAAGCCGGTTCCATTTTACCGGCTAGATCCAACCTATGAGCAATATGCTCATTACCATCAATTGTTATGCGGTCGGCATTACAAACTGGCACCATTGCACACAGCTTTTCTAATGATTTAGCCCAATATAACTAAAATAAAAGTTTATTTCTGCGTGATAAAAAAAAAAAGCTCAGCATAAATATAATGAATAAGACTTCATAAATCTCCTTATTTGTAATATTAATTCCTTATAAAATCTATGGAAAAATATAGAGGCAAAGAAGAAACTCATTTATTATCCTAAAAGTGTAATATAAAAGGAGGGTAATGATATCTCTTACCCACTACCTGAACTATGTCAGATGTTTATGAGCCTATAAAAAAAAGGATATGTAAGTTTCCCAATCTACCAATTTGAAAAACGTAAGATGATAGTTACTGCACTTAGCAAGTTTCATATCATGCTTATCTAAACCGAAGGCTAACATTCAAAGTTATCTGTATCAAACTTCAAAGTTATCTGTTCAAAGTTGCTTTCCTAAAGTTTGAAAAAATAGTAGTATAGTTATAAGAACTAAAGTCTAGTTAATAGCATAAAATTACAAAACGCAAATCTTAACGGTCAGCATTAAAATTATCTACATCACTAACCTGTCGTGGTTTATCAACCTTATTTCTCATATTACTTGATGCACAAACACGTCGTAACTGCTCATTTGTGGGATTCTTCGTTTCACGACTTGTCGTATGTACCAACGTAACAGGTTGCTTGAAGATGGATACTGTTTTACGCCATGGAGCATTCAATGGCCCATCGAAGCCACTTTTTGCAGTTACCGAAACTCCGCGATCTTTGCTACCTTTCATGCCACGCTTTGTAACCGACAAATTACCTGCTTCGGAACCCTTTGTACGTCCCATAAGATGGGACTAGTTCTAAGAATTCGAACTTGAAACCCAACTTGAAACTTAAATTTCCTCTCGCACAATCGATTTTATCAACACATAATGCATCACACCTACCGTTAAAATCCTCTATCCTCAATCACTCTATTAACTGTCGAACTACAAAGTGAACACAGCAATTAATAATGTAAGCTCACCTGAGAATCCAGATAGAACCAGATGTTGAAAGAGCTTAACACAAATGAACTGTAGACTCATCGCCTTTCCAACTACATCATAGAACAAGTGACATAGGTAAAACCACCGGCTGTACGGATAATGTGGACTTTCACCATAATACTGATTAGATCTTATCACTTATCAGTTTCTTATTACTTCACTCATACTGTTTATTATCTCACCCCTTAATCACACTAATTACCAATTATTCGACCTAATGAAGCAACTTTCATTATGCAGTTAAAGTGCTGAGTATGAATGTAACAATCCATCAGGTAAAATACCGAAAGCTCTCATTCCTTCATCCGAAATCCGATGATAATAAGGGGAGCGATGAGACACACATACATGTGTGAGTTTTGCAAGAGAGAACAATAGATCGGAGCGGAACAGACGTACAAATAGAGAAGATTTTATGCATTTTGGCGAAAGAGCGCGGTGATTAAGGAGACAACATGGATTAACTGAGAACTTTGCCATCAAGAGTTTTCTGTGACGGTGACAAAAGTTGCAAAAGTTTCAATAGAGACTATAGCAGTTTAGAGAGAGATGGTAAGATTGAAAGGCCGATACCTGAGGACCAGAGAAGCAAAGCTATGGGAAATTCTTCGTGATAATTGGCAAGGTCGCAAGAGCGATAGGAATTACTTGTTCGAGGAGCATTGATGGGCTCGACGTAGTTGCTGGAGTTAAGGGACCGCTTTTCCTTATATCAGACTCACCGGATTGATGACAGGAATATTCTTCTTTGCACACAATGCTTTGCTGTTTCCCATGCTTAGATTGGGTAAGTGAAACTTAAAACATTTGACATGTAAAACATACAAGTCGACGTTTCAGTTATGAAATTTTAAAGCAAGGAGAAAGCTTTTTCAATTAAATTAAAACATTGAAAAAAACTATTTGAATAAATAAATGCGTTTTATCAAAACAAAAAAATATATTTAATTCATGTTAAGGTAACATACAGAAATCTTAGAGAAATGCTATTCGGAAACCTCCGTCCAAAATTTAACAATTAATATACCTGATGTGTAGGATTGTGTTATAAGGTGATATGTCGGAGATATTACGAAAAAACAAAACAAATTCTAGCAAAACGAAGTAGATAAGGATAAGGAAATGGTATGCTTTGCGTGCAGCAAGACATCTTCAAAACTTATAGTGAAACGGCAACGTATCATTTAACAATTTGGCACGCAATGAAGAGTGCAGAATTGAAATATTTTATTGTTCACAAATTTCGAGGTTATAATGCACGTACAAAGCAGATATTTGTTTAGTAAGAGACAAGGGAAGTTAGCAGATTAATCATCCGAAAGAATTTCAAATGTTAATAAATGGCAGTTTTTGCTATTTCACAATAATGAAGAACGATACTGAAACGCAGTAAATGTCTGTCAAAGAATTCTTTTACAGAAAAAGATGTTTCACAATGAAGTTTATCCACGAAATACGGTGAACGTCAGCAACAACACGAATCAAACAGTAATGTTACCTGTTCCGCAAAATTCACAAGTGAAAATACACATTGTTTTTTAATTTTAAATATTTTTGAGATTTGAGAAGTAGAAACTTTCCTATTTAACATTTTTTTCTCTCTGGCGCTCAGTTTCCCATTTTCTTCATGTCTCATTTAGAATAGCATTGATAAATGATGGTAATTAAGGGTTTAAATGTCTTTTAGTTATTTGTTCCAATTATATTTGTTTAGAGTAAAACTTCTGAAACGAGGCGTTCAAAAGTTGCTCTGACTCATGGTCGAAGCTTAATGGATTGGATTAAGTTGACTTCGTCCAAAAGCACTGAAGCGAAGATAAAACGAGGTATCGATCATGTTGAACTCACTAAACATGCAAATGTTGGCGATTGCTGGATTTTGCTCGGTGAAAGGGTAAGTGTCAGGTATAGGGAATTTTCAGATCATTGAGATGACTTTGCTGTTTGATCCGAAGTTCCAGTTTCAGATCTGTAATGTAAAAAATAATAATTGGTTGTTATTGAATAGAGTTTTACCTGTCCTAAAATTCCAACTATCATGTAATAATGTCAGGTGTATGATGTGACAGATTATTTGGCATTTCATCCTGGTGGTGTTGAGGAGTTAATGCGTGCTGCTGGTACGGATGGTACGGATCTTTTTAACAAGATTCATTCTTGGGTTAATTATGGCACAATGTTGAAAACGTGCTTTGTTGGACCTTTCAGCGGCGACAGATATAAATGTATCTTATTATGGATTTCTTTTTCAGATATCATCTTTAAAACGTGTTGAGGTGATAAAAATAGTTTCTACAAATTTATAAAAATTTAACAAGTATCTGTTTTAAAACATTGTGGAGAATATAAATTGGTTTCTTAAAAACAAAGGATGTGAAAATTCGTTTTTAGTACCCGAACCAAAAACTGCGAATTTTACTGAAGAAACAAATCCAAATATCGTTAATTTCGAAGCAGCTAGAATAAAGTACGGTATTTCAGTGAAAGTTTACTGTTATTAGTAAAAGGTAAAAGGTAAAATTAGTAAAAGGATTTGATTCTTTATTAAGTGTAAATGTATGACGAAACATTTAGGTTGGATTTAATCGTGTTTATATTCTACTAATTGTATTTAATTGATGTGACAAATATGTCCTGAGCATAACCTGGTATTTATTAGCGATATTTCTTTCGGATAGTTTTCTCCTTTCTTCTGTTTTATCAGACAAAACATATAAAAAGTACAATTGTCTTAATTTTTCTCTAATTTCATAATTTTTTACATTTCTTGTTTGAATATCGTGATTTTTAGGGTAGAAGTTAATTATGACGGTCAATTACGAGTAAGTTGTCTGAAGTGGGATCAACTGAGGGATGAAAATGTATCCTTGGAATTTACGGAAGGTGTGCTAAGACTGCTGTTGCATTTTTCATCTGGTAAAACAGAGGCATTGCAATGGAGTAAGTTCTGTATAATTGTTCTATTCGCTATATACATTTTTACTGTTTATTTTTATTTCCATACTTCAATCTCATTTTTTTCATTTGCTTTTTTTACCTTTCAGCAACTCTTCGCTTTTATGTATTCATTAAATACTAGTTGGCATAGAAAGCTGTAAATTTAAGAACTCATATTCATTCCATTCATTTAGTACTGATATATCCTTGGGACTTTGATTTTCTGTTTGCCATTTCGATTTTATGTTAAACATTGCATAATAAACATATCTTTTCTTATAAGTACTTTAAGAAACTAAAGATGCCTTCATTTTTTTGGTTGAATTTATATGATAGTAGGAAGACCCCATCGTCACAAAGTTTATTATTTTTTTAATAATTGCAGCAAAACTGTCGACAACTATTTTTTATAAACCTTTTGATGTCAATATTAACGGCAAAACAATATCTCTATCTAGTAAAGGAATTGATGAAAATATCATTCGTCAGTGGACTTTGGGATCGTATCATTATGCACCAGGTAAGGAAGAGGATGTTTCATGTCTTCCATTGGTACTTTCTGAAATTCAAGTGACAATTCTGTAAAAACATATGTTGCTTACTAATTAATTATATGTAGGTCAGATGTTTTGTATCAGGGATGTAAATATCACGAAATTTCGGGTTAGAAACACGTGCTCTATTCCATCGTTTTAAAAACGTTCAATTTTCAGTATTGAAATACCGAAGTTGTGAGATATTTAAGATGTGTGATATAACACACAATACTGGTTCATTTGTTTTGCGAATGACGCCTCATTGTCGTTTAATGGTACCCGTAGGACATCACGTTCTGTTGCGGATTTGCATTAATGGTAAAATCTTGTTCAACTTCTGCTCAATGGCTCATCATGAATTTAGGGCTCTTTCGTAAACGACAATGATTGAAAAATTGATAACAATTGATATGTAGAGAGACTAAGAGCTAAAGGAATTTATATTATATCAAAAAGCTCTAATGAATAAGTGTGATAGAGAATATATGAATTTGCTGTTTAAAAAGTGTTTGAACTACATTTAAGCGAAAATTTTATGTTTATTCCTGTTGCAGGAAGTTTGATCGAACGTCCATATACCCCCGTTATTGTATCGGGAGATGGGCAGTTTATCTCATTTATGATAAAATTCTATGAAAATGGTATTTTTACGTCAAAATTGCATAGCAAGAAATGTGGTTAGTTGAGTTTCCAGTTGATTTCGTGTGCGTTGAAGTGTTTTGTAGTGAACGGCCCAAATTTTGCAATGCAAGTATTTGCCAACGATTGCATGTGGGACACATCAAATAGAGTTTTTTCTTTTGAAAGATAATTAAGTTACTATTCATCAAATAATTTAGTGCATTTCGTTCATAAATGAACTTTCAAAATCCAGTAATTATTCTTAAGGGGATTTAATCGAAATTAGCGACCCATTAGGTTGTTTCAATATACAGCCCGATTGCGCTGATATGATATTAATGCTGGCAGCTGGAACAGGTTTAACGTCCATGATTCGATTTACAGTTGAACGTCTGAAAAGTAAGAAAAAGTACGTTTGCTATGTTTGATTTTAAGAAATTTGGCTCACATCTTGCAGATGTATTTAATTTATTTTTATGGAAAAAATATTCACGAAGTCCTTCTTAAAAGTCTATCATTTGGTTAACTGTTTTAAATATTCTTTTTTTTTTGCGTCCCAAGCACTTAAGTTTTTAGAGCAACTATGATCATCTTTAACAGAAAGGAGAGAGATATTATACCAGATGACTATTTTACGAAATATGAAATACCGTTGAATCATTCTTTGATAGAAATAAAACAATGTTTAAGCGAAGCTGACCAAGAATGGAACGGCGAGAGAGGTCTGTTACGAAGATGATTTGTGCTGAGAAATTAATAATATTTTTTATAAAAAAAAACTTTTTTCAAAATACTAAACAAACTGTTGTAGTTTTGAAACAACTGAATAGAATTTAATTTACTTCTATCCATGTTTTTTAGGTATTATTTCCAAACAAATACTGTCAAAATATATTGATGAAAATACCGAAAAAACCGCTTATCGCGTATTGATTTCCGGGCCAAATCTTTTCGTTGATCTGGCAATAAAGTAAGCACATATTAAGGGGCAAGGTCTATTAAACGATACAATGCTGCGATGGAAGTGATACTTTCTCATATAAGCTATATATACACGTACATATACAAGACTGTGCAATTACTTAAGTTTAAATGCGATGCTTCCAAATATTATTGAGACACAGTTATATGCTAAGAAGAGTCCTCTAAACTGTGGTAAAAAGTCAATGAGTTTTGCTAAATTTTTTTATTTCAGATTGCTGGAAGAATTAAAAATGCCAATGGAACATATTCACGCTTTCCAGAGCTAACTATGGCAACCATTTTCTTAGAGGTAAAAATGGATATTTGCATTAAATTTATCTTGCGTGTTAAGAGTACGGCTAACATTTTCTTCAGAAACTTTATCTTCTAGTTTCTTAATTCGATATGGAAAAATCGTTTTTCTTTGATCATTTTCCAATATTACATGACATGGTCTGCTGTCCGATTTGAAGGCTTGCTAATTTCTTTTTTAAATCGGATTCTTCGTGCAGCGCGTCGTTTGAGAAATTTTAATATATCATGTTGTAAAAATGCATTCAACTTGTACTTCTGGTTTCATTGCTGTAGGTTATTGCTTGTATTACATTAGCGTGATTTTGCTGTCTGGTTTTCCATTTTGTTTTCTTTAATAGAAGTTTTTCAACATGTTTTTCCATTGCACTCAGTTTGTACTTGCGTTTGTTGTGGTTAGGCTGATTCACGAAATTCAGTTTGAGTATTTTGATGAAAATGAAATCTAGAAGAGGAATTGCTCAATATGGGTTTGATTTTATTTTCAATACGCTGTTTTTTTCACACTAGTCCAAAATTCGTGAAATTTCGAGTATTGACGATGCATATTTTACAGACATTCGGTGGTAAAAAAATGGTAAAGTAGTCGTGAATCTTGTTTAAAAGCTATATGTATTTAACCCAGGAGTCGTAAATTTTTGCTATCGTATGCACTTCGATGGCTGTATTTGCCTGACGATAACTTCCCTTGTCAGCGAATAATTGGTCCATAAGAGTATGCATAAAATTTCTTTGCGTCTAACTTTGTTCGATCACTGCTTAGGAAGGTATCATACTGCAGAAATTGGTACCTTATTAATAGATAATCGTGGAATGTTAGCATCTTAGAGCTTTAAATTACTTGTCATTTTCTTCTTGAATGAAAAGAGATGGTTTTTATGATAACTTATAAGTCGATGATTTCCAACAAAGAAAGAGGCGGGAATTACGAATCCATTTTCGGATCTCCATGAGGTTTCTCAATGGCTAATTTCTTGAAATGTTCTCGGTGGCTAATTTTTTAACTCTCATCCATTAACGATTCTTAGCTGTTAATCCGTATTAGGAATAGAAAATCATTAGTGATCGCTTCCTCGAGTGACATTTGTTAAAATATGTAGTGAAATTGGTTCAGTAGTCTCCGTATGTTGTTCATCTGAATCATTTCTCAAGAATTGCCATAAGGATCAGATTTGCACTGTTTCTCTAATTTCGCTCCAGTTTCTCCGAAGTTTACACCAAAGAGTTTACACCAAGTTTGCTGCGTATTTGAAATGAAGTGTGATTATTGTTGTATCGATTTCTGAAGGGATGACCTTCATGAATTCGAGGAGGATAAGAATCCTCAAAGATTTCAGCTTCACATCAGAAATGGGCCACTTTCTGTCCACAACGTCAATGGATGAAGAAAGTATTCGAAAGGAAGTGAAACATTTCCCAGTAGTAATCTTCACAATGCCGAGATGTTCATACTGTCTGAGAGCTAAACAGCTTCTAGATGGCGAACGGATCGAATATAAGGAAAACAATTTGGATGTTCATCAGGTTAATTTCATTGGTGTGTTAATTGGTTATTAATTACTCCAACTGGCGAAATTAGGATGCCGATTTCTGGAAAAAATTTTATGTCAGGTAATTAAAAATTGATGTTTCACATTTTTTCCATAAAATCTACGATCATTTTCAGCGCCATTTCCCAGCAAACCATCAGTCATATGTTAATGGATTAATTAATATCACAAAGCAAACCTCGGTACCGCAGATATTTATATGCGGTGATTTCATTGGCGGATTTTCCGAATTGCAGCAGTTGAAGAATGCTGGAATGTTATTAAATGCTATTAGTAAGTGTCAACCGTCTGCGGAAAAAAATTTCTGATAGTTGTGCTTTTTGTACGTTAGATTTTGATTTAGGAGTTTTCAAAGATAATTTTTTTGGATTATTTCATGCGGATTTTTTTCATTTAGTCTTGATTTATATTGCTTTGTTAAACGAGATAATGTAAAATCCATTTTCAATTTTAAATCAGCGCGCTTTTCTGGTTCTCAGCAATGTACATGTGCATCGAGATAATCCTTCACGCGGTTATGAGATTTGGATTCTTCAAAGCTATTTTTTTTCTGACGTATTCTGTTGTGTTTGATACATATTACTTTTAAAATTGAAACGAAATTAAATTCAGCGAGATTAGTGACCTAGTTGAACTTACGAAGTCAGATTCAATTTGATTTAATTATGAACGGGTCTGGTGGGCGTTGATTGAAGGATGCGGTGAGTGAATGGGTTTGGTGGACGTTGCACGACTGACCCCGCTGATTGAATCATGTGATGGGTAGATGGATGAAAGAAACGGAATACACCCCTGCATGTGCTGAATGGATGGATGGGATGGATTCGGCAAAGTCGGATAAAAATGGAATGCCTAGTTTGGTTTATTTCAATTTCACTTTTATATTGGCAACTCACAATTTATGAAACGATTATTCAATTACTTCATTATTATTGATTTCTCTCAGTTAATAAACTTTTCATTTGGTTTTCGTTGATTTTTCTTAAATTTTCATTTTCATTTTATGGGTGTTTTTTCATCCATTCAATGTTCTTACTCTCGCTATCGATGTTCAGTTTGCTTGATGTCACATTCTCACATTTAAGATGAGAAGGTTCAGTAGCTTTCATATTTGTTCTTACTTAGATTGAACTTATCCTATTAAGCTAAATGAAATCGCATTAGATTGGACTGACTCACATTTAATTTATGTTTAATATAAGTAAGTTAATCATTAAATAGGTGAACCGGCATGTGAGAGATCCAATCTATTCCACAAGGCTCTTGAAGAAATTAAGTTTCTAAATATTCTGACCGCTCTGTGCATTGTCATACTTTTTCTTCTCAAATTTTAAAAGCGGTGTAAACAAGATTTCGTTTTTCTTATAAGCCCAAATTTGTTTCAGTTTTGTAATATTTCGCTTTGTATACTTGTGGAAATGCATGAAATATGCGTCAAAAATAGTCGTTATCGGTATGTTGAATATTTTGGTAAATGATAAATTCATTCTCTTATTTAGTTACAATAAACAATTTGATGTGGAATTTTTTTTCTCGGAATTATTAACACTTTTGACGTGGATAATATCTCAAATCAGTTTAAATGACGCATTCGCCCGTTGAACTCTATGCTGCTCTCTTGACAATTCCTGGGATGATATAAAGCGATATAAATAATGCTGTATGTTTCAATTGCTGTGATTTAAATGATTTTTTTGATTACAGAAAAATCGATAGTTTCAATTAAATTTTATGAAAACTTCATCGACAGGAATTGATATATTTGTTACACTTGAGATCTATTATCTCTTAAATACGATTTGGCACAAAATTCTTTATTCTCCTATTATTTGACTATTCTCGAATTATAAATATGTTCAGACGATGAAGTTATGTTTTTAGATGGACTTATTGCCACCACTAAAGATTGATGACGGTGAAGCAGAAGAAAAAAAGTTGGAGAATGTTAGTCATAAGTCTTTGTCAACCTTGACATTTGCCGATGGTTGCAATGACGACCCATTCCTGAATGTCGACTTTTGCAGTTTCAAATTACGTCGTTTACTAGGAAGGTGAATTATTCGCACTACGTCGTTATTCCAACTTTCTTTTTATTATTCAAATAATAGATTTATGAGAATGAATAATGGAATGAAAAATTGAATTTATTGGATTAGAATATAAGTGTAACCTCACTCCGAGAATGGCGATCATTTTTACTGTAGCTTTGGGTTGCATTAGTGCTGAAAAAACAGCGAGCTTTTTATGAAAAGTTGCCAGGACTGGTCGATCATTCAAACCGCATATCGAATATGACTGCAAATGAGCTTGTGAAATCATTTTGTTAAAACTGTTTCTTGAATCCCTATAAAGATATACAAAATCACATGCAGGAACGGGGTGTGAGGAACCAAGAAAACCGATCACATTGTGAAATGAGATATTTCCCAGTAATTCTATGTTTATTTTTAGGGGGAGTTATAGCGAAGTATGGAAGGCGCAATACAAAGAAGTAACAGTAGCTCTAAAAGTTATCCATTCAACTGATGAAGTTCTTCGAGGAATTTTTTATCGCGAGGTTTTAATATTTCTTTCATTTCCAATATTGATCAGTTTGTATCTTATTAACAGTGATAATGTAATATTAAAACAGAATGCAATATATTACCAGGAGTTTAAAGGAAATATCGAAAAAAGATGTAGGCGTTTCAAGCAGAATATTATGATTGGTAACATTTTGATCCCTTTCCAAAAGCGTCATTTATTAATTACTCATCAAAAACACTTTCTGTTGATACAGTAAAACAATTTTAATATGTGTAACATTCAGGGAGATATAAATTAGTGTATATTTATTAAATTTTTATTGAAATTTTGAAAAATTTGCTATTATTTAGGTGGAAATGATGCGCAATTTGGTCCATCCAAATGTTGTCGAAATTATAGGTGCGTGCGTTTATCCGGTATATGCTATAGCAATGGAATATATGGCATGCGGTTCTCTTGATCAATGTAAGCTTTGAGGAGTTTTCAGTTTTTTGAACGAAAACTCTTATTTGAATGTGTGGCATAGTTTTATGGCAGTTATCTATTATTATATACATAATCCCTTTTTGTTAGATATGAAAAGATTTGTAATTTGATATTCTTTGCTAACTAGTAGTTATTAGTCATACTGATATAGTTATTTGTACTGGTAATGCACTACAGAGCTGTATCTTACTAATTAAGGAAGGATATAAAAGACCTAAGTATCAATCAGGACTTAATTATCAGTGATAATGCAAATAGAAATAAAATTTATTTTTAGTGCTACATGAATCAAAAAATATAAGTTACAAGGCAGATCATGCATTTCATTGGGCGTTACAATGTATTGATGCATTAGCGTATATACACCAGAAAGGATTTTCGCATGGTGATCTGAAAACTGCCAAGTATGATCTGATTTTTATTTTTCAGTAGGTCAAGTTTGAAATAGCATATTGGCTACTCCCAAATTCTATTTTTTCCAGTGGTAGTTTATTGACTAACAATTAACTTTATATTTTATCATGGAAACAAAAAAAGCGATTCCTGTTGTTTAACCAGTGGTTTTTTTCGTATAGTATTCCATAAATTGTATCAAAAGTTGTTGAAAGATGAAGTGAAGTTTAGAATCTTGTATTAAGAGTATATCTGGGCCAGGCAGATAGATAGTGTATTGATACCTTTTGATCTCTCGTCACTGATAATTGACATTCACTACTTTTTATAAAAAGTAAAATTCTTTCACCGTATTACTTGTACTTCTTTTTTTATGTATTGTTATTCTTAACAGTTAAACTCACGTGTAATATTCCGTCCACATTTGTACTTTCATGTTTTACTTCGTGTATGAACCGGTATTTGCGGAAATTTCATATCATTTTACGCATGAATTAACCTATGAAGAAGCGTCTAGAGTCGATAGTCATGAATTAAAAAAAAATAATATATGATGTAATTGTTCTTGCTTTAGCTTATTGCTTGATGACAAGTGTCGTTGTCTCAAAGTTGCGGATTTCGGCACGATGGTGTATATGAACACCGACACAGAGTATAGACAAGGGTCAGCACCATGGATGGCCCCCGAGGTACATTGTGTTTTTGAAATTTGAAATGAAAATTTGATTAAAAGACTGGAGTAAGTTAAAATTAAGAGTAAAAAATGGGCATCTGTTCATAAAAAATTGTGAATTTAAAATCGGAACTTTGATCTTTTTATAGATCATTAGTGGTTCGTCACCTTCAGAACAGTCAGATATTTACAGTTTTGGAATTATCCTTTGGGAAATAATTACACGAATGCGGCCGTATAATGATTGTAAAAATGCGGAAGAAATTTTGTGGAGCGTACGTTTTTATTTAAATTTTACGACTTTGAATCTTATTAAATGAAATGATAGCTGGATGGGATTGTATTAGATAGTTTAAATTATTGAGAGATTTCATTTCTAAATATTCATTTTTCTCATTAGAAGTCTTTAGGTTTATGCGGGTTTGAGACCATCGCGTATTCAAGACATTCCGACTAAACTTATGGAAATAATTGAACGGTAAGAGTTTCATTCTTCTAGCAGGAAGTGAAATCCCCTCTATTATTTATCAACTTTTTGAGAGCAATGTTATATTTCTTTTCAAACTTTACTTACTAAAATTTTACTTAAATATCAAGTTCAATCGCAGACCAGAAGAATTTATATTATCTTTGAAAATATAGAATTTTTTAGCTGCTGGCAGAAACTGCCGAAAGAAAGGCCATCTATCGAGGAAATCCGAAAAGTACTTGACATACTTTGTCGGGTAATTTTCTTCACTTCAGTAGTTTGCTAGGATTTTTTTATCATAGAAGAAATATTCAGTTTAGCTTTATTTAAAATATTCAAAACTATTCAGAACCTTATATTTAATCGATAAGCTTTTGAAATTTGTGATGTTTGAAGTACCCGATGGGATCCTTCCTCATCTCTGGCGAATAAGTCCACCACTTGCTAATGTATAATAAGGAATGTTGGAAGGGGAAGCTAAATTAGAATGAAGAAAATGTTTGAAATCAGAATAAAATTATGTTTATGTACATCGTTCTCATCACTTTATTTGAAAATTTGTCTTTCTTTTTTGTTTCTTTCTACACGTTATTTCTACACAATATTTTTGATTGCGTTAGTCACTCCAATAACTCCAATAAATGATAACGTTAAAATTGTATCACATTGTATGGCGTCATTTTTGTTGTTGCAATTTTTTGCACCCTATGCCGTCGATAACTTGTCTTCTCTCCCTTCAACTTTTACATTGCTTTTACAATTTCTCACTTCTCCGATGAGAATATTATGTTGCGGTTTCCTTTCAAACTTTAAAATATCCTTTACACATTATGCTTTAAATGTTATGTGCTATATATTTTACAGTCATATTATTAAATTAACAGCTAACCTAAACAGCCAGTGACATTTATCACAATTAGCGATCGAATAATTTCCTCGACTTATGTCCAATCATTATACCTGGGAAAACGACTAAAAATTTGTTTAAGTTCTTTAAGAAAACTTTTTCTTTAAAACTGCTATATGCTGTCATTTGGAAAGGTAATCAGGCAAACTGGGATGCAATTGCTTTTCTAATTTATCTCTCCTGTGGTTTATTAAAGAGCAATTTTGGCAATCACAAAACATGATAAGTTTGTGTTTCTAGGTATATGTATATATTGTTAGGAATTGTGGCCGAAAATCATTCTATATGGTCCATCTTGTAATGTACCTTATGGTCATTATAGAATGCCTGCAGCATTTGATGTACTATACGCTGACCTTCTGAAGGAATTTTATAACATCTCAAAGATTAGTCATGAGGAATTCCATGTCAGATCTTCGTATTAAACAAATTCATACGCTAATTAAGCCACCAGTCATTCGATCTACTAAAAAATGTATTTCGTTCAATAATTAAAAGGCCATGGTGAAATGATTGCATATATTAAATTCCTAATATAATATATAATGGCATTAATTAATCTTGTCATAAATTAATGCTTTATATACTTTTCCAGATGTATCCCAATTCCAGTGAACCATTAACGTCTTCTTCAAAGCAAGTGGTAAGTAAGGATTTATAATGCACAAATAAATACAGAGATAAATATATAAAAGTATTGGAATTGAATTGGTTGAGTTAAATCTGTGGAATCGCACGTCAACTTTTTTATACAACTTTTGCTTAAATTTTAAAATTTTTTATTCACTTGACATGCAGCCATGGATAATTTGTTGATGAGAATTTCTTAACCATTCACCTTGTTTTAAGTAGTTTATAATATTTGGTCTTTTTCATGCTGAAGTAAATGTGTTCTCGAATTATTTCTTTTGAATCTATTCTAGAAATGCAACTTCTTTACAGAGGTAAGATAGTAATTACAAAACAGCGAGTAGCCTGCGATTGTTGGTTGATTTATCGTGCGTTATTATTTTCAATGGGTACTGTTTCGTCTAACTTTCTTCTTTTACTTTTCAAGTTCAATTATTTGCAGAAAGAGATCATTAACGATGAGAATGACGTTGACAGTGTGGAATATGATACAACCGAAAGGGAAACAGTTAAACCTGTTCATGAATTATCATCCAACTTGGTAGAAGAGATTGAAGCACTGAAGAAAAAGTATGAACCGCCATATAATCACAATAAACGAGACAAACGAATGAGTGATTATCCCTGGCCATGGCTAGGAATCTTTCCAACATTTCTATAACACTTTACCATCGATTAAGCGGAGACACCGCTTCCGTGTTTTTTCTGATTTGAAATATATGTGGAATTTCAGGAACTTGAAAACTTGAAACTTAGATATCAAATGAAATTACAGAACATAAAATTAAGAATAAATCAAAGTTCATTAGGTAGATCGATCATTTCCATCAATTAAATGATACGAAAAATTTAAGGCTTGACCAATACATTTTATTATTCTTTGTGGCACTCTGTAATGTTTTGCGTTTCAGAGAACTTAATCTTTTTCTTTTTCATAACAATGAATACGATTTTCAGCAAAATGCAAATTGCTGAAAAGGATAAATTTTCAAAGTTTTTAAAGCACATAAATTAGTCATGGTAAATGTGATAATCAGCGAAATTGACGAATAACTGTTCCTATTTCCTTACTTGCTACCTATTCCATTTTTAATGAAACAACGCATTTTTTTTCTTATGTGATTTAAATACCCATTTGCAGGCATTCATTGATTCAGCAATATGAAAATGTTGCAAGCTATACAGGTTTATTATGCGAAAAGGTTCGCTTAGTAATTTGTTTTAGGAAATTCATTCTTGTTGTTTTTTTCTTCTTTAGGAAGTATATTTGACCGTTAATTTGATTCTCTTGATTACGTAAAACATTCACTGTGTTTTCATGTCTTTGTTTCTTATTCATAATGTATTAACTTTCAGTTCGAATTATGCAAGATTTTAAATTCGAAGTAGAAGCATTGCGATGACTGGTAGTTATGACTCAGATATGCTCAATGCACAAGTAAAGCAGTATTTCTTAACAATCTTTTTGAATTCGTTTTGAAATATCATACGAACTTTATTAATCCATTGCTTGACAACCAGCAGTAGTAGTTGTAATAGATTTTGTAAAGATTGTTGCAAATGATTGCTGTTGGAAATATTTTCGAATTGTCTTTTAAGGTATATTTCTTCCATTAGCTTTGTAGAGGCATTGTTGTTCATCTTGTTGAACATTGTTATTTTCTTCAGTTTGTTGTACAAAAAAACAATTTTTAACGTTTTGAAGGGTTATTAAGTTGGGAGAATCGAAGAGAATTCAAGAATATAGGAAAAAAACAGGCTGTTTAGTGAATGATTGGGAGAAGTTAACGATTAACGATTGATTTTCAATTCAGTAATCAAAGCTTTTTTGTAGTGCGAGTTTGAAGACTTTTTGGAGTTATTTGTAAAATACCAGGACTATTGGATAATTCGTGTAGACTAAGCAAGACGTTTAACGATTGACCTGAGCAACGTTGAGCAACTATTTCATATTTTTATTCAGAATTTCAGAATTGAAACAAACCAACAAGCTGCATTTAATAATCGGATTCTTCTTGATCGGAGGGGAAATTTTTCAGTTTGAGATTATAATTGGTAAGTAAGTAATAAAAGCAAAAAAAGGGGGAAAAAGAAGAGCAACCTTGTAATGAATTTTAATTCCTTACATATTGGGTGATTTACATTATGAATAACTTTTATTCAGCTATTTTACATTTTGCAACAATTTAACCCATTGAATATAAACTTAGTTTTAGAATGGAAGGATTTATATGTGAATTTACCAGGCGTCTATGATATGGGTTTGCCAGATGCATAAAACATATTAAAAAATTTAAGCTGGAAGAATCTATATATATTATTAAACTCAAAAATGGAACAAATTTCTAGAATGCAATTATTTAGATGCAAAAATTGTTTTAGAAAATTATTTCGATTTTCCCTCTTCTTTTTTATTCGAAATGATAGAAATATTGCTACTAATAAGTCTGGAAGCTTTTATATTTCTTATCGTTACATTCATGTTTTCCTGATCAAAATTTCATATAAACTGGTAGCTTTTCAAAATTGTCGTAAAATTAATCAGAATTTGAAAATTTTGTTTTTCTCAATGTTTCCACTGTTCTTTATAAAAATAGTCGAAATTTTAAGCATATTTGATGATTTGTTGTAAGATCCATGAAGCGTTTGAAGTATTCTCAAATAAAGAAATGTTTATACATGGAATGGACTTTTGCAACGTATCATATTCAAGTAAAATTTTGTCAAGTAAATTACCCATTCATCCATCTGTCATTATTTTCTCGAAAACGAAGAAACTGGAACTGATTGCAAACATTAATTCGAAGACAGTGGTAATGCTGTATTGCTAAGTTGAAGTTAAAGATAATTTAAAGTTGGAGAAAAGCAAAGAATTTGATCCCTCTCTCTCCCCCAAAACATAGAAAAGCAATATCTTTTCTTTTGGATTCTAATTAAATATAAGTGTATTGACTGGAACAGGCCACTGTCCGAATGTTCGGGAATAGTTCCGGAGCAGTTCATTAAAAAGTCAACAGGTTTCATCATATGCCGATATTAGATCTGTTCTCCATTAAACTCATATTCTTGACCAAATTGTTTTCACGTTCACAGACATTTGGATTCTGGTATTTCTAGATTATCATTTTTTGTTTCCTCCAGATCTTATGGATTCCGTTATCAATATTGAATCAGAAAAAGAAAAAAAAGGAAATTTATTTATTAAATTTGATTTGTATTACTTACACGCCTCATAATTTTTCACACCTTGCTCAAATCCTGATTTTAGAGTTGATGAGACAAAATTTCTTCATTTCCTTGAGCTGCACAAATTGTATAGTTGAAAAAAAGATGAACAGGTAGTATTCGTTGCACTAGAACGCGGTTAAATAGGTTCCCATAAATAGCAATGACCGGCTTTAATGTAGGACATTTGTTACAGAAAAGCGATTAGATTTTCTGGGTCAAAAATTAAATTTAAAACAATCAAACGCTAATGGATGCGCGAAGGATTTCTTCTTTTTCCATTTCCAATGTATTTTCCCATATTATCGCATTAAATGCTTTCTATAAACTTTCAAATTAATCTAGTTCCATTTGAAGTAGTGACACATTATAAAATGAAATTCAGGATTGTCATCTAGTGAAAATTATTCCTATCATTCACCGAGATATTCACGTTTACTTTCCCGAAGAGTGATTGCGATGGAAACTCAATAAATGCAATGTTTCTGCAAAGGCATTATCTAAAATTAGTTCATGTTAATTGCAAAATAATTTCAAGATAATGAGAAAAAGGGAAATTTCAGAGATTTATAACACTCATTTCTTCAACTCCAATCTTTTTCTTTTGAAATATTATTATAATTAAATCTCATTCTATCGAATCGAAAAGGCATATTGCATTCTTTTTGAAAACGGTAAGATTTTTCGAGGTCGCAAAATTTTTTAAGTTCATTTTCAAAACACTTTAACTCTAATTAACTCTAATTCTGATATTCTGATTCTATTGTTAAGATAAATTTCATAAATCTGGTACACTTAAAGAAAATTTTCTTGAAGGATAGGACAGTTCCTATTATCATGCCATTTTTGAAAAGTCGTACTTTTTGAATTTTAAGACAAATCGGATCTTAAAAAACTTTTAACAATTACATGGATCCGGATGCTGGCGAGAAAGCTTATCAGTTTGTAATTATCACCGCGCTTATTATTGCTGCTCTGCCATTTTTGGCATTCATGGCACTAACACCAACTGTAAACCAATATATCACCACTGTCAATTATCAGCTTCAAAATGATTTCTTTTTCTGTGAAGTGAGTTTAATATCTTAAGCAGATTTAATTTCTACATATCCGATGATACAGTAAATTTGAACCAATCACGGACAATGATAAAGCATGGCCAGAATATTGATAAAACATGGCCAGAATATTGATAAAACATGGCCAGGACATCGACAAAGTATAGCCAGGCATACTTTCGCAGCCCAGAAAGGCAAAATCACCAGCTTCTTTCAGCCTTTCATGATATTGAGTTTTCGACAAAACTGTTTTAGGAATAGAGCCGGAAACCTGAATTAATAGGTCATATAAATATGTGGCATATTGGGTACTGTTGTCAATATACAGCTATATTGAACAAAAGAAGCATTTTAATTCTAAACAACACAGCTCAAGTTGCAAAATGTATTTTAATAGACTCGGTTGGTTTACTGGGGTTGATTGTTGGATTTCCGGATTAAATGTTTGAAATTCGCAATCTCATTTTCCAGGAAACAGCGTTTAACTTTTACAATTATGTGAATCATTATCGCGGAAATCACGATGAAGCAGAAAATGAAAACGGCGTTGTAGAGGTGAGTCATTCTGTAACTTTTAGTCTACCAGTGATACTATATAACAGCAAGAAATGACATATACTGAGAACTAATTTTCATCTCTCTTCCTTTAATGCGTGGAACAAACTGTCATATTGTCCACCTTTGAAATCAATTTCTTTTAGCTTAATACCATCTTCGAATATTTGAATTGCTCTGAAAACTTCAAGAAATGTCAGAAAAGATGGCTACAGTCTAGTCGGAAAGTGCGCAGTCTACCGATTAAAATACAGGAAGTGCCAACAGCAACAACTTTTCTCATTAAGTACTTACCATCATCATTATCGGATACAGTCAAATCGGAACAAGTAACCGCACAAAATATCGGCCAATCAAACGAGGCGACAATGGCAGAAATTGATTTTAAACAGTCTATTATTAGTAAATTGGCAGTGACATATTCACCTGTGACACAAACCATGCAATATAGAACGACCAGAACAAGTAATCAGGAATGCAGGTGTTATTATAATTAAGATTAATACAGAAGGATGAATTGAGTAAATATGATGTCAAAGAAGATTGATAAAAATCAACTCTAAGCTCTTTTTGTTTTGAAACATTGAGATTTTGAGGAGTATTTTTTGTTGAAGCTCAAGATCTTTTTGAAGCATTGGAAAGTGAAATGACGATTGAGAAAGTATTAATCGCTGATTAAAATGAAGGATAGGAATTAAGTCCTGTATTGAAAGTCATTTTTGATAGAAATATTTTATTAAAGATGAGAGAAAGCAAAACAATGCTTTCACAATTCTTGCTCTACCCACCATCGTATCATCATTACATAAATCCTTCGTTTCCCGCATAGAAATTTTAAAATTTAAATTTAAAGGAAGTTTGTCATAAAGATCAGATTGTTTTGGGATTTAATTTGTATAGCGGAGAATGGACTTATATTAAATGAGTCTTCCCAAAAACCATATTTATCAACTCATCGATCGTTTTATCCATTATTTTACGGTCATTACCATTTCGGAAAGAACAGCAAATGTTTAATAGATTGTTACTTCTTTATATTGCACATAATATATGTTTTGGAAATCAGTTGATTCAAACTCTGCAAACAAAATTTCTTTGTGGTAAATTTTTTAATACTAGGAAAAATTTAGGTGCTCTGCTTTACCTGGACCCAAAGGCACTCCTGGCCGAAAAGGACTTAAAGGCGCTCCAGGTGCACAGGGAGCTCCCGGATTTCCTGCACGTATGCCTTGCGAACCACCAGTTGACTTGAAAAAGATATGTGCTGACCCATGTCCAGTTGGTAAACAGGGGAAACAAGGACTAACAGTGGGTTTCTTCAGAATTTCAAAAATAATTAAAGACTTTCTGAAATCAAAAGACGTATAAGTAATTTATTTCTTTTCTAGACGTTATTCGGCATTACAAATGGTGCAAGAAACTTGTTATTAAAATTAGGACAAAACTTAATCTAAAACATATTTACTTCAGGGTTTACCGGGGGATAAAGGTGCAACAGGAATCCCTGGTATCCACGGCAAAAATGGTGAGGATGGAAAAATCGGTCCTCCGGGGCCGAGAGGTCCACCAGGAATTCCAGGATTAGACGGAGATGTAGGTGAGCCAGGGATTGATGCAACGCCGACTCCGTTTATTCCAGGACCTTCCGGCCCAAGCGGTGAAATTGGGATGGTTGGACCACCTGGTTTGTCCCTTAATTTTTTGCTAGGAATAATTGTTGTTGTAACTTGAATTGACTCAGCTCGATACTTGAGAAATTATTTTGAGACATAGTCGTTATAGCTTGATATTTTTCACTGTTGCGATTTCAGGACCGCGTGGGATGCCTGGAATTGATGGACCACCAGGACCAGCAGGTAAACGTGGACCTCCAGGTGAAGATGGACTACCCGGAAATCAAGGGTCTCCCGGATTACCGGGACCAATTGGGAAAGTTGGTCCAGATGGAAACATTGGAGTACGGGATTTTGTCGTTTTTTTCAAGAGCTAATTTTATTATTTTTGTTGCGGTTTAATTTCATTTCGAAGAAGAAAGGCATATTACGGACTTTGCATACTTTTAATATTTTATTTGTTTTGATGAGAAATTCAGTTGAACTTCGTTGGTATAGGAATAACAACTTCTTTCGTCACAAATGATGAGGAAATGACAATGGATTTTATTGTATTTAAAATTAAGAAATGAAGAATTGATAATTAGATATTTATTGTTTTAAAATATTTCGTTTAAACTGAAACATTAAAGTTTCAATTCATATTCAGATTGAAACTTTTATTTCCGCTTAATGTGAATTGTAGTTTTTAATTAGAATTAATAAAATTACAGGTTTGTCCAACATATTGTGCAACGGATGGCGGTGTGTTCTTTGTCAGACCTCCGGAATGGTTCGAAGATTGATCGTAGTAGAAGTTGGTGCTGATGGAACTTATCTTCAACTAAATTTATTTCATAGAAACCTTATCTTAATTGTTTAATATGCTGTGCAGAAATGTCATCACACTTCTGCGCTGCTGACCATGCAATCTGCACAAAATTTCTGCAAGTTCAGTAATGCTGCTGTTGATTGACTAAGTAGCAACAATGATATTATCATTAATTTTTTTATCTCTTTCTAATTCCGTGACGAAACCTTATTAAAGGGGTCCTATCATATTAATCTTCATCTGCAGAATCGAACTCGCAAATAACTAAATTTTAATTCACTTCAATACCAATTCTATACAAATGAAAAGTATTCATATATTCCAATCATTCCTTTTTCATGCGTAATTGAAGTAAACGATAAGTGCTTGGTTTGTATCATCTTTAGCCGAATTCAAGTCCGTTGTATTACCTCATTTCATCGATGTTTTCTTACATGAATAAATTGTGGGGAAACTGAAACTTATAATATTTTTATCTTAACATTTACGTGATTCAGAAGCCAATAATAACTTGGCAGTTATGCAAAAAGCGTCGCGTATTTACATGAGTATCTAAAAAAAGCATAATTTTACTCTAAATTGACCGAAGTATAAAGATTATCGATCGATCTTTCCTCTCAGAGATATTTATAAGAAATGGCTTCTCTTTCAAATTATTGCTATTGCCACATCAAATGTTCAAGTTATAATCAACTTCTTTATATATATATATATATATATATGTATGTATGCGTATGTATGGGTGTATGTTTTTTTAAAAAATTCGATAATTCACAATTGGCTGTCGTTTTCTGAACTGATTTCATTTTACTGAAAGAAATAAGGAAATAAATGGAACGGTATACCGGTCATCCAATTTAGTCCATTTCAGCCCATTCTTTCTATGGTTAACTGTTGAAGTGAATTCAATAAAGAGAAAACTTGAAAAAATTCTTTAGGGCTGTATTTTTTATTTGGAAGAATGAGAAGGAAGTCAGAATTTTACGAATCACAACAAACATCTGATTATTATTGATAAACAAACATTTTTAACTTATGAAAATAATCATTTTAAAGTTATAAACCCTTTTGGTTTTCATTTTTCAAATTTTCCCATTTAAAAAAATCATTGGAAAATGCTGAAATGTTGCTGATATGTTTTGATTGTTTTTATCTGCTCTGATTACTATACCTTCATAACAGATACTATTTCCCGCTTATATTGAATTATGTAGCTGTAAAATAACAAAATCAGTGCCAGATAAATAAATTAACATCAAGTCACAATGGGAATGCTTCTATAGCTTTTCGAATTGCACTCTTATCTTGAATTAAACTTTCACAATCATACATTTCATCCTCTCATGAATTCCCGTCGATGTCTGTTCTCTTCGCTAATTATAATTTTCCATCAAGCAAAGCACAATGCGCGACACCTGATCACTGCTACGCACTCATATTTTTCCAATCCCGAAGAATATAACGAGAATTGGGTTGTCGTCACCGGGTGAGCAGAATCCCGTTAACTTTTGTTGCTTTATTACATCTATAATAAATTTTTTCAATTGAAGCAATAAGATTTCTATGCTTCCGCAAATATGTCAAAATTCACAGCAGTAAATTTGACAATGTCTTGACGTGATGAGACTTTCAATGAAGTCCAGGATGGATTAACGCGACATTGTTTCGTTATTTCCATGCCATATTCTTCACAATCTCAGCATTGATTGAAACGCGCTATTGACCGGCGAGTATACTTGTTGTGAAAACTCTGATAATCATTGTCTCTATCAAGACATTAATAATCGATCTGTCAGTTTGGTGTGTGCTAATGCTAGGATGAAAAGGATATAATTCTCCCCTGAGATTTCTTGCTTAGCTAAGTAAGAAAGACTTCATTAATTTTCTTGTAGGTTTTCTGAAGAATGAAATGGTATGATTCATTTGATTCTCATGAATTAACTGCCGAGACAACTATTCTCTCATTCAACTTCAAAATGAATGGCCATAATTCGAAGTGATAGACTATTCTCTCAATGATTCATTTTTAATTAGCAGCGCGGTAAAGTGTTGCAGGTTGTTAGTTAAAAAGTCAGTCATAAATTGAATACCTCGATTTCTGACCAGTCCTCTGTGCTGCATTGCCGTTTCAACTATTTCTTTCGAAATCAATATCAATTTCATCCCACCTTTCGAATTCTGAAATGTTATCTTCCATTATTATTGAACTTGTTAGGAAGATCTAAAGTATTGCAAAAGTGCCTTATATAACTTATTTTCTTCTTTTCTAATCTATTGTTATCTCTCTCAAAGACATTCCGGAAAAACAAAAAAGGAAAGATATTTCATATTAAGTAATGTTTTTATTAATGAGAGTTAGTACTTTGAATTATTTTTAAAAGCTAATGAAGTCCATGAATCAGTAATTCCAGTTAATATAAGACAAGACCTTTCCGTTTTATAAAGCAAAGAAAGCAAAAAATGGGAAAATCGATAATGAGACGACCTTTGAGCACTAGAAAATGAAGACCCGCTAAGACAAGTTGAAATCATTTACTAATCAGAAAACTTGAAACCAGTTGAAGTTAGCACCACTATATTAAACTTAGGGTGGTCACTTGATAAAATTACCAAAGTCTGACGTCAAATGTACATCTGATATATTTCCTAATAGCACAACCGAATACCCGAACAGCCTCCTTCAGAGCATCCTAACCATTAATTAAGCAATTGTTAATTTGAACTGCCCTATCCATTGCATATAGTTGTATTTTTTTGTCTTACTTGATATTTCTCGGATGCAAATTATTTTACTGTCCAACAACAGTGTATATGAAAGTCAAGTTTTCCGGTACCACATTTTCATGCTTATTCCCCTATTTACTCGTCAAATTTGTTCTTTTATCTTCTTCTCTTTTCATTTGCTTTCATTCATTTCTGCACATTAGCTTTATAATCATTGTGCCGAGTTATTAAACACAAACGACCGGAAGTTCTACCCAGAAAACAAGCTTTGTAAAGCTTCAGATATATTTCAATTTGTTTCCTATATGTTAAAAGATAAATTTACATATTTGTTTTCACATTTAACAATAAAATAATGCTTCTTTAGAGGCAACAATATTTCTGACCTTTCCCTTTCCCTCTCGACAGAAGTCGGAAGTGAACCGATTTTCACTTTCTTCAACAATTCTTGGGAAACAAATTGAGCGCCAAATAATTTCCAGCGAGCTTCATCTCACAGCAAAGCATTACTTTTCTATTTTGAAACATAATTGCGGTTCAATTCATTTATCAGTTGTGTGTAAAAAGTAATGTTAATATTACTTACAATGCGTTGCAATTATAACAACAAAATTTCCTTTCTTCTGCGTCACTTTGCGAACATTTAACAATTACCGTTGCAAATAAATTAATGAAAGTTACTTTTTGTTTGATCAAAGTTGCAAAAATAAGCTGCATGCTTTCAACATAGTGCAACATATAGCAGCCACATTTGTATGCATCATAATACATAATACCTACGAATTACTCGCTTTAATTGGGAACAATACCTTAGTGATAGGTTGATGACTAAGACATTAATGATAAGCAATAATCTATCCAATCTGAGATATGTTTTGAAATTTTAATTTTACAAGAATTTCATGATTTAATTTGTTAAATTTCTTCAAACTCAGCTGATAACATAGAAAAACTTTGCTCGACTTTTCCAGGTGACATTTTGCATAACACCAACAATTGTAATGCTCGTAATGAAATGATATGCAATGCTATAGAATGATGTGTACGGATGGCAATAATCCTCCTCAGATGTTTTGGTATGAATGATTGGAAGGAAAAGGAAAAGACGATACGATCACTAATAAATCATTCGCCTACTTGTAATTCGTCCCAACGATTTTTGCCTTGCTCGAAACTCATTCATTATTTCACTGCGTGAACAGAAGCCATCTGTTAAATCATCACCAAAAAGCATACTGCATATTGGTTAATCAAATGAATATAAAACAAAGGGATGTGGAATAAAGAGAAAGTAAGGATTATAGGAGCCAAGTGAAGCCTCAAATATATCGAAAGGCATGTTATAATTAGATTGCGAGGGGATTCAGATTCAGGACTGCGTAATAAATGAATATTACATATTACTTACTGCAGGTAAGTAATAATGCATGCATATCGTGCAACCTGCACATCTGCACCTGCACCTTATACAGTGTTTTCTTCACATTTTGTCTAATTATTTCAAATTTTCCTCACTTTTTGCCTGGTAAAATTCTTTTATTACTCCGACTTACCCACTCATCATTTTTTCAATCTAGAAATTGTATTTCACGAATAAATTTGTTATACGAATATTTGTCAAGTTTCGTACTCCAAGCGCAGAATGCTCAAGACAAAAATATAAGTTACTGAAAAGGGAAATCCGATCTCTGAAGAGTAGCATAACATTTTAAGTACTTTTCTTTATCCTGCCAAATGCAGCGTTGAATTTGAATTGCATTTAATATTAATATTCGATTTATTTGATACGTTTATTTCTTATTGAAACCAACAACTTGTTTATTAGACGAAATCTTTAGAATGCAATCGAAAATTTTGGGCTATCATTTGAAATCAAATTCTATTTTAATTTCAGCATTCAAAATTTAAATTAGTTTCACCACAAATTTTCGCAGCAAACCAAATTTTTAATGTAATCATTCGAAGATGAAAAAATTTCTTCTTTTCAATCTAAATTGCAAATTTGTTGTCATCGGAAAGAATTGAGCAGATAGCAGTGTTGATATAACCATACATATCGGAGAGTTGAGTGAATGGTGGTGGGGGTCCACTTGATGATACAGGGGACAGATAGAAATGCCAGAAATATTGTTGTGCATTCTGGCAGCAAAAGCATTTGGCGGCAAAAAGACTAAATATAAGAGTGACTGATTGGCTAACTAACAAACAAACTAACTGACTAACTGATCGACCGATCATTATTGATTACCG